TGGGGCGGGTGACCTCCCTGCCCGTGATGCCAGCCGGACGGCAGCCTCCAGGGGGTCCCGTGGTCACTGTCGGAACGCATGGGACTCCCAGATACGCATGCGAGCCTGGGCTGCTGTTCGCTTCCCGGGCCGTGCGACTGTGCGTGCTCAGAGCCTGCCCCACCGTGGGCGAGCCGGAGTCAGCAGCAGCTCCTCCCAGTTGGCTTCAGTGCAGATGCCTCCCACAGGCTTTGTACTCTGATTTAAGTTTTCAGGGATTTTTATTCCAGTTCATTTTAACGTATGAAATAACTTCATATGATAGCTTGGGTCCAGCAGTGTCTGACATTTACAGACAGTGGCTTTGCCCTTCTGTGTGTGAAGTTGCCACTGAGGAAGCGAAGCACCGCTGTTTCCACTCGGATGCGTGTACCAAGCAGCCTCCCTGGACGCTGTCTCTCCATTTGTTCCCTGTGAGGACGGTGGTGAATGGTGTGTGACCACCTGGAGTCCAGATGTCCAGATGGAGGGTCGGAAATGCTGTCGCAGCCTGGACGCTGGGTATGGTCAGACCCCACGGAGGCGCCAGGGTAACAGGCACCTTCTGTCAGCCAGAGGGGCAGCGAGGCCTTGGGGCCCCGGAAACCGCTTTTAGGAAAGGCCTAAGAGAGAGAGGGTCTGGCTCAGCAGCGCTCAGTAGTCCACCACCCGGTCAAAATGCAACCTGTTATTGAAAACACGAATCGTAAACCGGCGTGATAAGGACTAAGTGTATTAGGGCAGTGACGTTTGAGAAAACAGACTGCAAGGCCGTTATCAGGTGGAGACAGAGGGCTTCGTGGCTGGAGGAAGAATCCAGGTCCCACCTGAGCGGTGAGTGTGCACTCTCTAACCTGTGGGAGAGGAGAGACGCAGCTCTTACACTCCAGACCATCACAGTCCGCTTGCCTTTCTGAACACAGCACATGTCGTTCACTGTCAGTTAAGTAAATTGCATGATCCTAAATTTTCATTGAAATTAGTCATTAAAATGCGCATGTGAGTTGGAAAACTCAAAAGCAGTGCAGAGCACTGAGGCAGAAAGATAAGCCCCAAAGGGTACTTTTGAATAATTCTCCTCATTTCCCCCTGAAATGAACACTTACACACTGACTGGAAAGTTGTTCTGCAAATAGATGCGTTTCACTCTGCAACTTCTCCCAAGAACTGGCGCTGAAGTTTGGAATTCTCCCTGCGCAGTCAGTGATAGTGTCCTTAAGAAATCTTTCTTCTTCCTTGTTTTAATGAGAGATCTGGCATAGTGACACCACCGTGTACAAGACCCCTCTGTGCATTCAGACAGTACAGAACAGGAAAGGATGAGAGGGAGAGAGAGCAGTGGGGAGGGGCGCTGACCAGGCCTCTGGTGTAAGAAGAGTCATACAATTTCCTGCATAGACTGGTTTTGCTCCCCAAACACCTCGAGGGCAAAGTGACACCTTGGTAGTGTGATCCCTAACTCTTGAGTTAAGAGAAAGTTCCAGCTCATCCATCAATCTATACCACTCTCTGCCTCCCAACAACTCCAGTCCACTAAGCCATATCTTACCCAGGGGAAAATTTAATAAATTGCCTTCTTTTGTATATGACAATTTTTCAAATACTTGAAAATAATTATTTAGTCTTCTCTGGGTTACTGAGCCCTTATTATTTTTCTCATTGCTTCTGAGCTTCTGAAATCATTGCAGTAGACACACACACACACACACACACACACACACACACACACACACACACGGAAAGTTCTCCACGTGTGGTGTGACTAATGAGCCATGCAGAAGAGAATGTTGCACAAAGTTCCTTTGGACTGACTGGAGTTTGGGGCCCATCCACGGAGACTGGGCTTGTGTCCCGCACCTCCTCCGGCCCAGTCCACTGGGCTGCCCAGCCTGACAGCTTGGGTGAGGGGAGGAAGGAGGAGGTCGCAGGAGCCAGGAAGAGACCCAACCCACCTCCCCTTCCGCTCCCAGCCATGGCAGCGTCCAGAACCCACCTGGTTCTCTGCAGTTAGCTCATTTGTGTCCTGCTGTGTAGGAAGACAGTTGGCCATTTTGGAGAGAAGGGATCTGGTGGTGGCAGAATTGAATCACAGAAGATGGGGTACAGACTGTGCCCGGGGGGTGTTGACCTGACCTCTTAGGGACCTATCCAGTGCCGTTGTAGTGATTTTAGATGAGGATGAGGAAGTGCTTGCGGGGGTGGGGACTCCGCTGTCTACAGAGTGAGCCGCAGGCACGATGGAGCACCTGTGACACTCACCTCCACGACCTGTTGGGTGGAGAAGAGCCAACTGAGGAACTGGAAGCCTGTGCAAATGGTCCCCGAGCTCCCAGGAGGGCTCCCGGGAGGAGGAGGCTCAGGCCCTTGAAACGAACACTGGCTTCATCTGAGCTCCTGCTTGAGAAGCTGCAGTTCCTGCACAAGACCAGAGTCACTTCCCCGAGGGCCCAGCAAGTCAGCAGCATCATCATTGTCAGTGTTGTTATTAATTATCGTTGCTATTATTACTGGCGTTTGCACTGAGCTACATCCCCAGTCCTTTTCTTGTAATTTTTTACCCTGAAACAGGGTCTTGCCGAGTCAGTAGGACGCAGAGGCTGGGCTCAAACTTTGTATCCTGCCTCAGCTTCCCGGGGTGCTGGGGTTACAGCCCTGGTTGTGAGACGTGTTCTTCAGGGCTGTGTCTGCCGCTAGTGTCATGTCAGGCTTACGTGGCCTCATACAAGCTATTGGAAACTCATAACATAATTAAATCTGGCTAGCATATTCTTGCTTGCAAATTGGATATTGATTTCTTTTGCTCGTTGCCCTAGTAGCAGATGTTCCAGCCGTGGTGGTTTAGGACAGACACACATTGCTATGTGTTGAAGGTCTGCACTGGCCGGGAGCTTTATTCTGGGCCCTCAGAGCTGAATGGACAGGAGGAGGATTCTTTTCTGTCCTCAACCTTTTTTCTAAAACATAACTCAGATGAGTAGATGTGGACACTTGCTGTTCTCCCTGGACAGTGATTACACCAAACACGCTGTTGCGGTGAGGCTGGGGGAGCTGGGAACAGGCCCTGAGTGGCCTCTGCTCCTGATTGCTTTCTTTCCTCCGGGCTCTCGTCCTGAGGACGATGAGAAATGAAGTCGAGGGTGAGCCCTGGGGACAAGCGGAGTGCAGTTCACCAGGAGAAAACGGAAAGGGTCTCACTGGCCGAGAGGGGCTGCCGGGCAGGAGGCTGAGGAGGGCCGAGGTCGGTTTGATTAGATGCTGTTGGGCTGTATATGTGAGTGCAGAAAATGAGACAGTGCAACAATGCAGGTGCCACTTCTAGCTGGCCTCTGACTCCTGAGAGTCCTGACTCCTGCTCCCGGCCTGCACCTTTCTGGGCCAACTTCCGGGCCCCTCTCCCTGCACACTGTGTCCGGGGCTCATCCACTGCTCAGCTCCCCACCGGGTTGCTTCTCTGTCTCCTGTCTCACAGGGAGGTGGAGATAGGGTTCCTCACCTCCCTAGGGCGGAGCTCAGTCCCCCGCAGCTGCAGCTCCCCACAGAGCCTGCAGGGCTGGCGGGCTCCTTTCCCCACAGCACCGCTCCAGGCTTGGCGGGCCCAGCTCCTGGCTCCCACTGTCCACAAGTCCTGAGAGGTGAGACTGCGGAGCCTTGGACCCAGGCCTCTAGTCCTTCCTCCCTCGGGTTCAGAGGCGAAGCTGGCCCTGGTGAAAGGACAGCACCGCTGTTTTCCTGCCAGGGCTTTGTTCTTCCAGGTGGACACACGTGTGTCTCATGTAACCCTGACCACCCCCCAGGTCCTGCGGTCCTCAGCAGCCCACAGGCCTCACAGGCACTGCAGGGACTCTCAGTGGGCCCAGGACGAAATGCTCTGATGATGTGCACATTCGTGTGGAAGTGTGGCAGGCGGCTCCTCAGCCTCAGGGGACAGACCGGTGACGGGGCGTCCTCAGGACTGGGGCATTGGCCTTACAGCCCGGGAGGAAACGTCTGCCTCAGCTGTGCTGTTGAGGTTCCCGGGACACGCAGGGACGGCACATGTGCTCCTCACGGTCTCGGCTGCTGAAGGAAGTCTGACTTCTGTGCTGTTGTCACAGCGGATGGGGCGCTGCCCGGTGTGGAGGACAGTCCTAGGACCTCGTACCTGGGGAAATCTTATCCGACAAGGGCCTGAAGACCCACCACGCAGGAGGCTGAGACAGGAGCCCCACTCCAGCGCAGGAGCTCACCCTCACAGTGAACAGCAGCATGTCGCTAGCACACGGACAGCGTGTGACTCGGCTCTGCAGCAGAAGGACGGATGGACTCATCCCGATGGAAACAGGCAGGACGCTGCCTGGGGAGATCGCTCGGGCTGGGCTGCATGCGCTCTCCTTCACAAGGGACGGGTGTTCCCCGGCTGCTGGCTGGCCCCTGACTCCCTCTGTGGCTGTGGCTGTCGAGGCGACGGCGAAGAGAGCAAACAGAAACCTGCTTGGACCATCGTGTGTGCCGTTTTGTCCTGTTTATTTTTTAGCAGACTGAAGAAATCTGGGTAGTAAATGTGACAAGGACAAAGCCTCTTCCTTCCTACCTCCTCCCCCTTCCTTTTCTTATTTTCTTTACAGAGCACAACTCTGTTGACCCAAGTACATCTTTTATTATTAATTTGCGCCCTCAAACCACATAGAAGGTTTTTGACTCTGAAGCTTGGGAAATCTCCAGAAATTGCTGCTGAGATCAGTAGCTGGACACAGAACCCTGAGGGTGGGTTCCTGGTCGTAATTTGGAAATGTGTCCCCAGCCCTCTTGCAGGCTGCACCCGCCAGGCTGGGCCCCCAGGACCAGTAGGGCACACAGAGGGACAGAGAGGATTGGAGGGTCTCCTTCATTTCCAGGGCCAGACTCTGTGACAGTGGTGTCACCCCCCAGAGACTGCGACCTTGAGTCAGAGCCTGGCATGGCGGGACCCAGAACTGGGACCCTCCCCAGCTCCCCACTGAGAAAGTGGGACGGTGGCTCTGATGTGAGGAGGCTCTGGCGGAGCCTGAAGCAGGCTGAGAGGGGAGGTCCCAGTCGCTGGGATCAGAGCTCCCGACGCAGACAGGAGAGAGCACCTGCTCCACGCCCACCCTAGAGATGCCAGGGGTCTGAAGCAGCCCAGCGCCTGCGGGGTTTCCAGAGAGATGTGAGCAAAGCCAGGTGCAGTCTGCCCGGCCGGACAGGAGCAGTGTGTGCCATGCTCACTCGGTGCTGACCACCTCCTTCCCTGCTCCCTCAGCCCCAGATGGAGGTCAGAGTCCAGGCACATCAAGAAAGAACTCGTTTTTCCACATCTTCAAACTCACTTCCTTTGTCGTGGAGCACCACTGTGGCCACTCCCTGTGGATGACCGTGGGTCTTGGCATGTGGCAGGCCCTCGGGTCCTCCCAGTGGCTCAGGGTTGAAGGCCTGCAGTCCTCTTCGGGTTAATTAATTCCTCACTAAAAGCCGCCTTTGCCCATCACTGTCGGATCCCGCATTCATCTGATCTCCGCTGCGTGGACGATGACAGGTCAGGGTCTCGGCGTGGTCACTTCCCTCCAGCTGCACACAGCGGACTGTTCACTGTGTCTGCGTGGGAGCGAGAGGAGCTCACCGGGCCTGTTCTATAGGGGCGCGGTGTCACTCTGGAGGTCCCCGCCCCGTGGCCGTGCCGGCCCCACCTGTGAGCGCCGTCGCACTGGGATTAGGCTTCGGTGAGTGAATTGCAGAGGACAAATGTTCAGACCGCCTCAGTGAGCCACAGCACAGGCTCACATTCCGCATGGTCCCCTGCGGTACCCACTGCACCATGAGCTACAGTATCTTGCTCTTCTCGAAAGTGGTCTTCTAATGACTTTTCCGTGGGTGTTGGAATTTCACCCTTGCCTGTGTACTGTGGAAGAAGGGCGCGTGGAGTGTCGGTCCTGAGCCTGCCATCTGGAGACGGCCTCGGCTGCGCTTTCTGAGAATTCCCAAGTGAAAGCAAAGGCTCCCCGTCCCGATGGGCCCAGCAAGTCAGCAGCATCATCATTGTCAGTGTTGTTATTAATTATCGTTGCTATTATTACTGGCCTGTGTGTGAAGTTAGACACAAAGCCAGGCTCGGCTCATCAGGGAGCCCGCACAATCACTGTATGTCTCAGCCCACAATGAGAAATGCTTTGGCTTAGGTTTTTGAGTCTCTGTCCTTTGCCGAGCAGGGTGCAGGACCTTGGAGCACACCCTGAACAGAGCGTGGTCTCACAGGGTGGAGGGGACACGTGTCACTCAGGTGGCTCCGTAGCTGGTGATTGCTAAACAGCCAAGGCTCTGGGGAGCAACGGCTGGGCACCTGTCAGGAGCAATCATACCGCAGACATCTGTTCACACTACAAATTAGTCTGGGGTCTCCCCTTTCTGTAGCAAAGGAGAGAAAAACGTGGCCATCGTGTGTAAAAGGCTCTACTTTCTGTGTGGGGGAGGTGGGGCCACCCTGAGAGGGAGGTGTGTGTTGGAGCAGCTGTGAAAATGTAGGACGGAGAAAGGACTGGGCACAGTGGAGAATATTTACTAAGAAAAGGACGCTAAAATTGTAAGTTGCTAGGCAAAGGTGGGAAAATTATGAATTTCACATGAAATTCAGATGTTTTGTCTAGTAACTGTGAAAGAAAATGAGAGGCTCTTACTAACTGACCCATTGCATGATTCAGAAAGGACAGGTTTGCCCTTCCTAGAATATTTGATTCTCAAAGACTGAATTTTCTTGTAGTTTTATTGTGTGTAATTGCATTGCGTGGTCTGTCAAGTATCTCTAAAAGTTACAGTGGCAGCCTTCATTTGAATAACGTCTAATAGTTTATAGAGTGCTTTTGTGACACATTACCCCTTTTGATCTTAGTACCATTAACTAGAATTGGTCTATTGCTGTATTTCAATGAAGCTACTAGACCTCTTGCCACACATTTTAAAAGAAGACTTCTGTAAAAGCAAATTTAAGGTTTTGTCTCATTGCTTTGAAAAAAACAGAATAGAGGCCCGGGATTTGGCTCAGTGGTTCCGCCACCTGCCTCACAAGCGCAAGGTCCTGAGTTTGATCCCTGGCACAGTGAGAGAGGGGAGGGGGAGAGGGAGAGAGGGAATAAAGCTGAGGGAGAAATAACAAACCCAAAGGCTAGAAACTCGAGACCAAATGGGACTATTGAAGAGGCGGTTTGATGGGAAAAATAAGGTGAGATGTGTAGGTCTGATAAACAACAGGACAGGGAAAAGTCTTGTAAATCAGAATTCGTGTCTAACCTCTGAGCTAAACAAATTTGAGTTAAATTATTTTTCCCTCAGAACAAAAATGTAAAAGCAGAAAAATTTAAATGTTAAATGTCTTATCTAGAAAGGACACAAAGGCTTCAAACTAAGTTGCTGTTAGCTCTTCCTAAGTTGGCAATTTCACTTCTGAAGGCTGTTAGTGTAAATGCTTTCCTCCGATATCAGGAGGAGAGGTGAAAGATTGCAAAGTTAATTGCTAAGGTTTCCTAATTATTTTTAAAGGATTCAAGAGGCAGCCGTCTAATGGTCTGAGATTTTACTTCCTTGCATGAAAAACCTCTTGACATTCTCACTTTGAATTTGATAGCTGTTGTCTGACTGTTTGTTGTGTAGGCAGCAGTGAGCGAGACTCCTGTGAATTTACAAAAATAATTCAAAAATATCTTTTACTGTGTGAGACTTTGATATTCCTTGCCAAAGCCTTGAAGATACTAATGGGCACACTAATAATAATTGTTTAGAAACTTGGGGAAGATACAGCATTTTTAAACTTCAAACCCTTCAACTATCCATAGTCTGCCACAAACCACACTGGGGGAATTTTGGATGTTGCAGATAATGTTTTCTAGCCCCACTGTCCTTTGCATTTGATGACTATTCCAGTACTTCAAACAAAATGTGCCTGTTGGGTAGTTGTAGCTATTAATTCAGCATAAGCACATTTTACTGAATAAGAGGAATACATTCTGTAATTAAACCATTATTAATAAATGGCAAACATGTTTAATTACTGTAAGTTGCATAATTTGCAAATATGTAGCTCTTAGAGGACAAACTTTAAAAGATGAGTAGGGCATTTAGAATTTCTTTTGAGATTGCTGTAAATAGAATTCATTGTGGTTTTGTATTCCTTTCATTTAAATGTGGTTTAAATCCTCAGAGTTAAAAAAAATATAAAGACAACTAATCTGTTCTTTCTTCTGTTTTATATCTTTTACCTTCTGCTATTCATACCCTAATTATTGTGAATATGTATATTCCATTTAGGAAACAAATGTTATACTTTTAAATAAATTAATATTTTCAATAAAGTAGTACTGTCACTTTGTATAAGAATCTATTTTGATGAAAATTAATAGTTAAACTTCTCTCTTGTCTGGCCTTTTCTGTTTAAATTGGACTCAGTATTCGCACAGTTGGATTTACAGCATCTTACCGAGGTCATCTTTCAAGGCAAGGATTATGCAAATAAATTATCCCATTTAATCTCCAGACATTTTATGAGATATCTGTGTTCCACGTTTCAAAAATTATAGCGCCAGTTAGCAACGTACTTGGTCATGCAGATGGAAGGTGGGATGGTCGCGCTAACAGCTTGAGTCTTCGGATCCTTTCTTTCCTGTCTCAGTTGCTGCTTTGCTTTTGCAGCGGCCACTCCTGAAGAACCCAGCCCAAGCCTCTGCTCTCCCACTGAGGGTCCTAAGGCTGGGGGTCTCACTCACTGCAGACACGGGTGGCTGAGGTCCCTGGCAGTGCTGAGAGGAGCAGCGGCTGGGGCAAGGCACCGACCCCAAACTGGGACCTGGGAAGTAGCCCCCTGCCGAAGGTCTGATGTTGCAAACAGAAATGCCCAGGAAGTTGAGATGGGTTACAAAAAAAATACAAAAAGAAAAAGAAACCCATAAGAATGTGTCCTAGAAATAAATTCGGTTTTGTTTAGACAAGAGGAACAGAGGCTGTTGGAAACTGGGACTCGCAAGAGAAGGAGCCCAGCTGCACTGCAGCGCTTCCTGAGCCACCTGGCCTGGGTTTCCAAACCTTCACACGCATTTCAAGTGAAGCTGTGCGCTGTGTTCAGTCACACACGAAACTCTTAAAGTGCAAGAAACCCCTCACACATTGGGTACAGTGAGTCCCACCCGAAACGGAGTTGGGCAGCTGGAAGAACGTAACTGTGTGAATACTGATGCCGTGACGTTTGCCCTGTCGGTCCCATCGCTTTCCCACCGCTGTCTTGGAAATTCATTGAGGAAGAATGTGTTCCACAGCATGCTGGATTGCGTGCGTTGTTTCTGTTATTTGTGAAATTATCCTTTGAACATGCAAACCAAACATTTGCATGAGCTGCCGTGTGTTCCATGCTGTGGGGAGCCTGGGAAGGTCTGTTTGCTCCCCAGTGAGACCAGTCTCACTGCTGTGCTCCGTGGCACACGCCCAGTGGCCACCTTCTGAGATGAAAATGTTCACCCTCAGAACCACCCTTGCTTCCCTCCCTCTTGCAGCCACCCACAGGTTACTTATGTGCACTCACCGCCACCGATTTTCCCTTTGCAGGAGCAGCAGAGAAGAGCTCTAAGCACGGCACTGAGGACAAGACGCAGACCATCATCACAGCCATGAAAGAAAGAATGAAGATCAGGGAGAAAAACAGGCCAGAGGTGTTTGAAGTCATCCAGGAAATGTTTCAGATTCCTAAAGAGGATTTTGTGCAGTACACGAAGGCAGCCAAGCAGAGTGTGCTGGACGGGACATCTAAGTGGTCTGCCAAAATCACCATTACAGGTGAACACAGTCTTCCCTGAAGTCTGTTCCATACTTGACATTGTTGTGTGATTCAGAAGTCGCTGCTGATAGCAGTTATGGGTGAAGGGAATAGAATGCTTTCCAATGTTGTTAATCCACTCCGGCCAGTCTAGTTGTCGCCTTGAAGTTCACCTGCTAGTAACTACTGTACTTTCAGGCTTGCTTCTAAAGTACTCACCTGGATCCCCAAGATGGCAAACCATTAGCTTTGCTGCTGCATGCCACTGATAATGTAGCCAATTGCCTCCTCAGTGAGTTTTTCAGTGAGAACTCAGTTTACCTATCCCACGGATGCTCGAGCAGAGGTCACTGGAGGCCAGGGACCTGGAGCTGCCCATGATGTCCACAGCAGGGGCCGTAAATGCTGTCGACATCAGGCCAAGCTTCTTACCCTACTCAGTGGGATCCGGAAGGTAAACTAAAGATGCTTCCCCCAGGATTAGTGGATCCATGCTGACAGCAACATCATAAAGCACTTTAAAAATCAGCACTGGGATTATGCTGGGCGATGTTTTGCATGCTGTCAGGGCCCAAGTCTTTGTGTCTGCACCTGCAGTAGTGTGGATCTGAGCACGGGGAACACAGGCGGTGACGAGCAGTTGTAGACTTCGGTTCAGTGGAGACAGAGGAAATAGGAGCCAAAGGAAGAAGCCTTACTTCTTTTAAATTTACAGAAACATTGTTTATATCCTGCACAACAGGATGTTTTGAAGGATATATGCTTGTGGCCTGGTAAAATCTAGCTAGTTACCAACTGCATCCTCACACCATTATTTCTGGGAAGAGCGCACACTCCATAGGAGTCTCGAGGGTGCAGCACACCCACTAGCTGTGCAGACCTTGCTGTACGGTGGGCCTCTTGGAGCCCCTCCCTCCTGTCTCCCACAGCGCAAACCTAACCCTTCCTCCCATACCTCCCGACCCCAGCTCCACCCAACTCTGGTAGCCCCACTGCAGTCTTCATTCACACACACATGTGACACCAGGTAGCACATTTTTTCTGTGCCTGTCTTCACTTAACATAATGTCCTTCGTGTTTAGCCATGTTGTCACAAATGGCAGGATCTCATTCTTGTTGTACATGAAAGATCAGCAAAACACTCCTTACCAAGACATTTCCCAGAGGAGGACACGTAACTGACCACAGGCCTATGGGAAATCTCCAGCATCGTACATCATCAGGGAGATGCAAGTTCAAGCATGAGGACATGTCGTCGCACACACCTCAGAACGGCTACCTGTAAAACCCAGCAAGTAACTTTTGGCCAGAGTATGGAGGAGGAGGAACCCATGCTTCCTATTAGTGAGAATGCAAATTAAGGCAGCCACAGTGGAAAGCGGTGCGGAAATTCCTAAAATATTTCCAAGTACAGCTGCCATGTGACCAGCAGTCACATGACTGGCTGTGTATCGTGGGAAGTAAGTCCAGTATCCCACAGAGATGTCCATACTTCAGCGTTCATCCAGCTGCCCCCCGCATCCTGGGCGGGGGGCCTGAGTGCCACACGCTGGGCACTTCTGTCGGGAAAGCCAGAGAGATCCCAACGTCCGAAGGGCTTGTTATTTTATTAAACACTTTAAAAAATTGCATTGGCTGTGCAAATAAAACAGTGGTTATGCATCTATAAACCAAGGGAGTACGAAACATCTGTAATTATTGTGGTCTGAGAATATCTTTCTATTGAAATGTTTATTTTGTTTTATTTCAGTGGTTTCTGCACAAGGCTTGCAAGCAAAAGACAAAACAGGATCAAGTGACCCCTATGTGACAGTTCAAGTTGGAAAAAACAAAAAAAGGACTAAAACCATTTTTGGAAACTTGAATCCAGTGTGGGATGAGAAGTTTTACTTGTGAGTATATAATGTAAAGCTGTCACAGACATCAGAATGTTTGAGTAAATTTAAGACTGGCAAGCACAGAATGCAAGTAATAATTGTATTTTAATAATCTCATGCAAAAGTCAGAAAGAATGAAACTAATAGTATAAGCTTACTTAATGCTCTCATAGCGTTGGTTATTCTTCATCTGTAAGCATTGAAAGGAGAATATTTCACAAAAGAATGAGGTGGCCCTGACGGGGGCCTTGCAGGAGGGGAATGATTCACAGATGCTCTGTGCCTGGGGACAAGCCACAGCTAGGAATCTGCAGCTGCGGGGCAGGGAAGACCTCAGGTGAGCGGACTGGTGCCTGTGCTCACCAGCGCTGACCTCACGCTTTGGTTGAGAATGCTGTAACCTCCTGTTTTCTGTGAACACGTTTATTTTTAAACCTCTTCTGTCTTGCACCTCACAGCAAGAGATCATTTTTCTCTCAAGGGTTCTTTCCTTCTATCAGTCTTGCTTTTTGGAGACAAAAATAGATACGGGGGGCAGGGTGGGCACCCCCAGCTGGGTTCCAGATAGTCCGCTGTCTTTCCTCTTCTCTTTGCACACGGATTAAACTTGCATCTCATTAGCAAGCTAATCGAACAGTCCTAGAGCACAGGGCATACTGAGAATGCAGGCCGAGTCTGTGAGAAGCAGACCTTCCAGGGTGCACAGCCAGGAGGCAGTGCTGGGGACAGGTTTAGAGATGCGGGTTGCACCAGGTAGGAAGAAGGGTTGAGGCCCGACAGCTCCGCTTCCAGAGGGGTGGAGAGGCTCCTCTGGCGGCCCTTGGCTTTAGGCGGTAGACAAGAAATCAATTCGTCACTGCCAATTCAGATTCTGACTGGAGCCAAGTAAATGAATAAAGCAGGATAAGGACAACAGAGAGAGGGGTGGAAACGAGACAAGCAGTGAACAGTAGCCCCTCGGGACAGCGCGGCATGGAAGGCCTGGCGCTCGCAAAGCCCACGGCAGCCAGCACCTCCAGTGCCATTGGGGGAGTGGGGAGGCTGAAGGGTTAGGAGCAGCTTTACGGTGCACACTGACAGGACCAGACCCTCACGCAGGTGCGCAGTCTGCAGTGTTCCCATGCATGTGCCACTGTGGAATCAGCCAAGATGGGGAGCTTCTGGGGTTCTCTGTCCTCTCCAGAAGGTTCTGCATCCCCTCCAGACTCCCTCCTGGCCCTTCCTCTGCTCTCGGAGGCTGTCGCTCGCGTCCCATGTTGCATCTTCTAGAATCGTCCACGGTCAGGAGAGAGGCGCTCAGCCTGATTACTCTGCGGTCCACCCAAGCTCGGGGAGAGCACCGGCTCATTTCCTCTTATTGCCGTGTAGCATCCCTAGCAATCGTACTGTTTTATATTTATATACAAGTGACCGCAAGTTCCAGGTCTAGCACAACCTTCCCATACTTGAGAAGGCAGATCTTTCAGATCCCAGCCTTTCTGTCTGGCTCGTGGCTGTGTCTTAGGCAGGTTTTACTGGACATTTCTCTAATGACCAGTCAGAATTTCAAGCATCTTTTTTATGCTTTTGTTTTTATGCATGTCTTTCTTTGGTTAAATTCTATTCAAATATTTTGACTACTTTGTAGCCTTTTTGTATTTATATTGTCGCTTGTACTTTTAGGTGTATGATGCATCTTGAAATACTTTTTAATGTGTAAGTTAATAGGCATAAGTTCATTTCTGCATATGGGTTTATAATTTTTATGTGCCATCTTTAAAAGTACTTTCTCTGTTAAATTGCTTTTTCACCTGTGATAAAATTCAGTTCTCTATTCATGTGGAAACATTTTTTTGTTTCTTTAATTTATCTGTTTACAATGTATGCTTTATTATCACATAGTCCTGATCATCATAGCCTTATAATCACTATAAAAGTAAGGTAATGTTAGCCTTTCTTCCGAATTTCTTCTTTTGTTTCAAAGTCATTTGGGATCTTCCGATTATTTCCACATTCACTTTAGAATCAGGTCATCCCAGTCTACAGAATGAAAGCAGGAACCACCCAGTGGGATTTGGGCTCTCCAGCAGTGTTGAGTGGGAACACTGCGAGCACAGGCAGCTCGGCCACCCCTGGGCACACGGAGCTCCCGCGGTTGTCCGTGACCAGGCCCTGGTCCAGCGGGGAGCCCCTGCCTTCCCAGAGGGCAGCGTTTGAGCGAGAGATGCACGGTGGTCGTGGTCGGTCTTCCTCTGCATCCACCAAGGGGACTGCGACTGTGATTTAGAGGAGTGAAGGTCCAACTTGCCCTCTGCACTTTCTTTGAAAAGCCTGCTGCTATCCTCATTTCTGTTTGCTCCATGTATCGTGGCTTCTCCCCAGCAGCTGTTTTTCAGATTTTATTTGCCCTTTTCATTTGCACCATTTGATTATGAAGCGACCTCGACTAATTGTCATTGTGTTTCTGGTGCTACCGCAAAGCTACTTGAGACTGAGTTGGCATTGTCTTTCCTAGTTGGAAAAATTTGTTTGTTATTTCTTTAAATATGTTTTCTGCCACCCTCCCATTCAGAGACCCACATATGAAGCCTCTTGAACCTGTCCCACAGCTTACAGGGACTCTGGGCCTTTTCTTCTCCCTCTTTTTTTCTGTTTTACTTTGGGTTGCTTTGTTGTCCTGTGTTTAAGTTCATTTTTCTCCCATATGGGCGACTGTGCTACAAATCTGAGGCATTTTGTTTTCCATATTAGATATTCTACCTTCCATCTCAGGAAATTCGAACTTGGGCTTTTCATTTTTTGCCTCTGTTTAACTTCAGTAACTGCCAATTTGAGCTTCTGATTCCAGATTTGATGGACAGATTTTGCTTGATAAATTTCAGCCCTAAATGACAAATATTCTTCTCTGTTAGGGTATGTCTGTGACACACAGTGCTGACACTCGTCTTGAGGAGTTAGTACATACACACTTCACATCATGATCACGTCTCTTCTGCCCTCCTCTGCCTCCTTCCCAGATCCCTTTCCAGCCTGCACAGAGTCTAACTCCCTGTTGCTTACCAACTCGCCTTTATTTGGATCTTTAAATTATTTATATTTTGAGTCTCTCATGCTGGAGAAATCATTCAATATTTAACTTTCAATGTCTGATATATTTCGCTTAGTATTATGAGCTCAAGATCCATTCATTTTCCTTCAAATGACCCAAATTTACCCTTTTGTTTCTTTACTGCTCCTATATAAATCTAAGGTTTATTTGTCGACATAGGAAAACAACAAAAACTCTCTGATATTAGAAATCTCTCAACTCTTACAAGTGAAAAACTACAATGGCTTTTAAGACTATCTGGAATCAATTTTTCAGATATACTGTTAAAACTCAAGTATTAACATGTTCATATTACTTTCATTTTTAACTTATCAGTCAAACAAAGGTTTTGCTAATTATCTTCTCTACTGTCCTACCTCTCTTCCTCATCTTCAATATTCACATTCTATTTTTTAATCTAATTTATTAAACCTTTGTTGGTATTCTTTCTTAACCAAACACATTTTACGCACATCTCTAAGTGCTAGGGAGTAACTACCAGTACCACTAGTGTTGTTGTCCGCTGTTTGGTCTGCGGAGTTCAGTTTGAGAGCTCAGACTGGGAGGGTGAGGTGCAGAATCACCAGGCAGACTCTGGGGAGGTTTCCGGAATGCTTCCACTTTATTTAGGAAATTCACAGGCTTATGTAGCTTACATGTGGACAACCATGGGGGAGGAGCATGGGAAGAGCATTTGATTACGTGGCACTTTCTTATAGGTTATACAGTAGTGGAGAACACTGGGCGATATCTTATTGGGTAGACAGATGGTGGGGTGATTCTTCTTGGGCAAGGCGAAGGAGTCATGGACTAGGGGCGGAGGTACAGCCTGTTAGACCCAGCCTCTATGCACTTAGGTGAGTTAGCTCAGCCCGGAGAGGTCTTCAGTTTGCTCAGAAGACAGGAATGCGGCACACCTGGCCTAGCCAGGCTTGAACTTTTCTCACACACTAGGGCAATGGAATAAATTCCAGTGATTTGTTTAGATATCATCAGAAGATCACCTTCTGGTGACTTTCTTTAAAATCTTGGAAACAAATACGTGTATCTTATACTACTTATGTGTATGTGTGATTTATATAACTCAAAGATTCACCCTTTTCATGGCTAAGTAATACCCTTTTTCTTTGTCCATCTATTAATGGGCAGATAGGTTGCTGCCCTGATTTAGCTGTTGTGAGTTGTGCTGCTGTAAGCATGGGTGTGCTTGTGTCCCTGTGACTTGATGTCTTTGCCTCTTTCAGGAGGATGCCCAGAAGAAGCACAGCTGGGTAAAATTTAATTTCTATTTTCAGGTTTTTGAGGAATCTCCATACTGAGTTACACAGTGGTTGTACTAGTTTGCATTTCTGCTGACAAAATGGAAGAGTGTGGTGTTTCTGAGTCCTTGAAAATAGCCATTCTTACCAGAATAGAGCAAAATCTCAGCATTGTTTTGGTTCGCATTTCTCAACTGGCCAAAGACACTTTTGAGCATTTCTTTTTATGCACTTGTTAGCCATTTGTATTTCTTGATTTTGTGGCCTGTTTTTTTATTGGGTCTGTTATTTGATTGATCTAATTATTGGGGTTCTTTATATATTCTATATCTTATTTCTTTGTTGTGCAGAAACTTTTAAATGTGATATAATTCCATTAGTTGATTCTTGGTATTATTTCTTATGCACCTGGGTCCTGTTCACAAAGTCCTTACCTATGCCTGTATCTTAAAGAGTTTTACCAAGTTTTTTTCTTCAAGCAGATCCAGTGTTTCTGTCTTTATATCTAGGTCTGTGATCCATTTTGGTTTAGTTTTACTGCAGTTAAGTCATACATGTTTGGATTCAGTCTTCTGTCTGGATAACCCGTTTTCCCAGCACCATTCATTAAAGAGGCTACGTTCTGTCCAGCATATACTATCAGCCTCTTTGTCAAAACTAAGATGGCTACAGGTACTTGGGGTTGTTTC